CTCATAAAATCCCTCTGAATTTTATTCTATTACCGAGAGACCATCTTTAATTTGGGAGAAAAAATCTCTTCAATTTTCTTCAAGTCGGCGGAAAACTGAAGTCAAAATTTCCAAAGTTGGAGGGGCGAACCCCCCCCCCTCCCCGTTTCCGCCATCCCTGCTTATGAATTCAAAACATTTCATACATAGTTCGAATGAAAGTTATGAACATTGTAGCATTGTTTGCTCTGACAGTAGATCACGTCTATGCAACGAAAATGTTCTAAAATAGAAACATACTCGAATAGCTGAGTTCTCAACTAACGAGATATCAATTACTGTCGTAATTGCTGCATTTCCCTAAAACAATCCATTGAATGCTACAATACAATAAAATTCATGTATAAAAATACATAAATCTAATAAATATAGGGTGTGAGTGTAACAAGAAGATTCACACATCCATATCCTGAAGGAAGCTTTGCAAGATCTAATAGTATGTGATGTTTTAATGTGATGCGCATGGGAAGTAAAACATTCTTCACAAGGTAAACGTATGTTTGCATAGGGTGTGGGTGTGGACTTTAATATACACTGAAAAATATAAAGGTGCTGTACGTAACCTTTAAGGTTTGGTGGTACCTTATTAAACCCTTAGAGTTATGGTATGGACCTGCGAAACCTTTTGTAGGTTTAGTACTAGAAAAAGTTCGGTGCGATCGCTTTATAAGGTTCTGAAGTGACAGAGGTTTCGTACCATACTTTTGTGAAAGTCAAAGTTGAGTCAAGTTTCGTATGGAACCCTTGCATGTTTCATAATATACTTCTAATAGGTTCCTCCAACTGAAAAATTGAAGTACTTTTCTTTTAAGTTCGCCATCACAATCCTCCCTGGTGTACTCTTATCCTTAAAACTATTAGTCTCAGCTATCCATTATAGACTTTTCAAATTCAATGTTTATATGAATGTATATTTAGAGCCAATGCCATTGGTGTTCTTGCACGTTGTCCAACGGAACTATTTGCCAGGAAATTCCATCTTTTGAATGACAATTTTTATTTTTCTGCTTTAGATTATACAATTCAAACATTTATCTCAAGTTACATTCAATACTCACATTGCTCTTTAAATCTTTGAGATAAACAAATAAGACAATTTTAGTTGCAACAATTATATTTGTTTCTTCTTTTGCCATGGATTACTAGAATTTATATTTGAAGTTATATTTTATATTGAAAGGGTTAAATTTCTTTCAAGTCATTCCATTCAACATCACTTCAGGTAATTCTGCATTTAACACTATAACTATATCTTTGTTTTATATTATTAGATCAAAATACTCGCTTCAGGTTTCATTCAGCTTTCAAAAAGCTTCTTTCATCCAAGTCGTTCACCTTAACAATATTTAAGGTAAATCTATATTTATGATTACTGTATATCCTTCTTTCCTCTATTGTAAATTATTAGATAGAAATACTCTTCTCAATCTAAATGTAAATCTGAAAACGCTTTGTTTCGTTCAACTTGCAGAACTGAAGAATATTTCAGGTAACTCAGCATTTTACATAAAAAATTTCTTTTCTTTGCTGTAGCGTGCTATATATAAACTTTCACTTCAAGCTAAATTTAACTTCGGAAATTATTTTCTTTGCACAAATCACTATGCAACCGAGTGGTATTTCAAGTCATTCTACATTGAACAGTATAGGTGCATTTTCATTGTTGTAGATTATTAATTGGAAATATTTACTTCGCGCTAGCCTCCACATATGTTTCTTTCATTCAGATTGTCCAACTAAACAATTTGGGAAATAAAATTCAACGCGAAAACTACGATCATTTTCTTTCTATTGCATGCTTATTAAACCGAAGTATTGATATCGATATGGATCTCATATTTAAACTTTGGCTCGGTTCGAATTATTCAAGTCGATAGTCTGGTTATGGTCTAGTGTTTTTAATAGTTGGCAAATCTGGCTAATTCATTGAAATATTTTCTATTTGTGTCTTATGTAAAGCCAATGAAGTAAGACTGTTCGTTTGGTATCCTTCTGTTACATTTTGAACGTCTCATCGTGCCTTCCATAGAGTATTAATCTCTGAAGCTAAGATTAGGCAACTAGAAAGAGCATTTTGAACCCGTTCCGAACGGTAATTCTGGAAGAGTCGGCCTTAATTTGGGGGAATTTGAAATAATAGGAAGAGTTTGCGATGATACTCATGCAACTCTGACATTTTAACTTTGCGTATCGAGTTCGGTAAAGCAGAACTGCCATTATAACGGCCTGTCTGGCCATCGGTAAGTATAAAATTCAAAATGAGTTGACCTATTTATATTATATTGACGTAGAGTGGTAAACTAATTGAGAACAGCATTATTGACCCCGTTTATTGCTTTTCTGTGTCAGGAATATATTTGATAATATGAGTTTTTGGAGTTTGATGATCGACGCAAATATTTCTGACACAAGAAAAGGATAACTTGGGTCAATAGTGCTGTTCTCAATCAAAGTCCTATTCTACTTCAGTATAATGTAAAAGGCAAAAACAGATTTGAATTTAATATTTTTCGGTGACTTAGTACGCCGGCTTGAAGAAAGCTCTATTATTAAATTGGTATTGCGGAACTTAATCTGCAAAACCTAATTTTAAGTTTGTCTATTGGAATAAGTTTCATACTAAACCAGTTTCGTACGATACTTAAAAAGGTTTAGAATTCGTTTCAAAATTCGGAACCTTTTTAAGTTCGGTAAGGCACCTTCTTTATTTTCAGGGTAGTTGTTTTTAAAATTGAAGAGTCAACTAGCTCCATCCTAGTTGACTTTTCAATTTTAAAGATAACTAGTTGACTCTTAAATTTTAACAGCACCTGGATTTTAGAGTCAACTCCGAGAAATATATATATATAAGTAGCACATGAAAAACTTCAATGATCTGTTGACATGCAAGTTACTACAGCTTTTATAGAGTACTTTCTATTTTCTCCCTCATGAAGGTATTATAGTGCTAAACGTCAGTATCGGCTAACTTTTCATAGGATGGATATTAGAACCTAATATTTTTGGGATTGGCGGCTTCAGGCATCGATGTGATGGGTGAGCAAATAAGATGAAAAAATAAACATTTTATCGAGTGTGTGTGGGTGGCGGATGATATAAGACACTAGCCCGACACATCGACACTCACACCCAAAAGTCGAAAAAGTAACTAAACCAATGTTCGACTTTTTCAGCAGAAAAAATCATTCTATTACGAAACCGTTTTCTCGTCCGATGGAAAATATCGATTAAAAAAAGCATCCGCTCTCTATACAGTAAGATATACTAATGAATCAGTTAGGATTCAAGATTTTCGTACTATCTCTGGAATGTTTCTTTTATTCCACAATAACGGACTGAAACGGTTTCAAGTTCGAGCATTTTAGACTAATTAGAACATAGAAACATCTACAAAACAATACCACAATCAAAGAATCTTAAATGGTTTCACATGACATCACTTTCTATCAAAACGAGTGATACAGGTCAAGGCGATCAAATACAGTGAAACAATAGAACAATACGCCTCCAACAATGATCAACACCAACATACACATCGAATCAAATTTGCGCAACCCGAATGTTGGAACAAGCTCATGGCGAACAATCGCCTCGTGCATTAATCAATCGAAATCTGATATATAGTCAGTGACCAAACGATGTTAAGGCAAGCAATAAAAAATGTTCTTTTCCCTTGGACAACAAGACTCACAGCAAATAAGATGAGCGATTCGCCACCCAGGTCGACTGATCCGATAGGAACCTGGAAATATCCTACAATCTGATACAATTCTAATGGATTCCGGGTCGAGGAATTGATGTCGGATCCTCAGTGTCGGAATCCTATGAATTTCCTATGACATACAACGGTTTTTCCTTGGAACTCATAGGAATCCGACACTGAGGATCCGACATCGATTCCTCGACCCGGAATCCAACGATAATTCTGTAAGATCTGGCAGGATCCGATAAAATCCTATTGGATTCCAGTTGGATCGGATGTGTTCCGATAGGTGCCTACTGTCCGATTGCTCGACCTGAGCAGTTACTGTTCACATGACATGATACTTGTGACTAAGTATATATGAACTGGAACTGATCAATAGTTTCAGCTTATGTTAATTGAACGTATCAACATCTCCAGCTCATCAGAACTTAAACTGGTAGCTCACTTCATGAATTACTTTCTCATGAATTGTAATAGTCCTAGCTAGAATAAAAACCATGCAACCAAATCTGTAATAGCTCATCGCACTAACTGAGAATATTGTTTTATTCGTTTCCTTGAAAATAAGAAATTTTTTACTCACTTGTCGTTGTGGTTGTTGTTGTTGTGGTTGCTGTTGTTGTGGTTGCTGATGTTGTGGTTGTTGTTGTTGTTGTGGTTGTTGTTGTTGCGGTTGTTGTTGTTGCGGTTGTTGTTGTTGTGGTTGTTACTGATGTCGTTGTCGTGGATGTTGTCGTTGATGCGGTTGTTGTCGTTGATGCGGTTGTTGTCGTTGCTGTAGTTGCTGTTGTTGTTGTTGCTGTCGCCGCTAAAAATATCGGTGGTTAGAAAACGCTATTGGGTTTTTTTTAATAGCTTTATTCGCTCTATGACGTTTTTTGGAATACTGAAATGGATTTTTATTTTCATTATTTGCCAGAGCGTTATTTTTTCTACTGAACTGTTTAGTTTTCAATAGTCTGTTTTTACATTCTGGAGAAAATTAAGCTATAACTTTAGAAATAGTAAAGCAATCAGAATTTTGTAACTTTATACCAATTGATATAGAAATCATTTTTTCTATCACTTGTTTCACGCATCGGAAAAATCTGACATGCACCATCATCCTGCATCAGAGTTTAGATCATCTCATATTGGTGACACGCTATCTGCGGTGAGGAATGCACCTCTAAATTTCAGCATTTTTCATGGTGCTGCTGAATTCAGCAAAATCTGAGACAATTAATAAATATTCTGTCAAAAGCAAAATATAATAACAACTCTGGTAAAACATGCAGAGAGTGTAGGTGTGAATGCTTGACGAAAGTAGACTGACGCGTTGAGCCCTCCTCCTATCCACACCCACACCAGCAAACAGGTAGGGGCGAAAACGTAGACGTTCATTGAAAGATGAAGAGAATGATGATTTGCATTTACACTACAGTTATAAATAAATATTAATTTCTTTTCTTTGAATAAAAATTGATATTCGTAATGGAGAGTGCATGTCAGGAATTGGCAGAATAAAAGCTAACACTAGAGTAAAAAATAGTAAACAGAAGAGCAAACTTGATTGCTTAAATTCATCGAAACGTTTGGTATGCATCATTCTAGGCTGCAAGATTAGCGTATCACTTCTCATTCTCGCACAAGTGAACAAATGTGAATACACTTACGAATATCCTATAGTCTTCATTCCAAACACCCGGTCTTTTTGCTTACGCCCAAAGATTGTAAATAAATTGCTTTAGCAGAGATCGTAAAGAAAATGAGACGAAATGGCACATTCCCTGTTGTGCCCAGCGGCAAAAAGTACATGTCTCTATCATGTTCGAATCAAAAATTATCCAAAAAGCAACCGTTGGCCTTATATTTTCGAACGGATAGTAGCATGTCGACTTCTTCTCATGATACATAGACAGACAGTGATTAACGTAATAAAACTAATTCTACAGAATTTACGCTCAATAATAAAATATTTCTTGCCAATTGACAATTTATCCGTGAATCAAGTTTTCGCCTGTAGATTGACGTGCATTAAAAATCTCACTTAGAAATATATGCTTCCTTCAAAATTCGACAACAGTCAAATTTGAGTGTGGATGTGGGTGCGAGTAAAGATGAAGAACACCACCCACACCCACACCAAAAAATATATGTATGCAGACTTACTTGTTGCTGCTGTAGACGAGTATCCAAAATACAACACAAGCGTAGCAACAAGTGCTCCAAGTAGAATAATGCCGATCATGCTGAAGTATGTGCATAGTGGCAAACATGGCCAACCAACGTTCGGACAACATCTTAAATGAGATTAACCGATACAATCATCGACATAGCATATACTCACTTTCTTTTCTGCAGTTGTCGATGTTTTGGCAAAATCTGACGTAGTGGTGAAGCCCCAGTGATGGCGGGGGATGGGGGGTTGCCCCTTATTAATTCAATAGCCCCTTCCGCTCCTGCCCTCCCTCCCCGAGCTAACGGATTATTCTCATAGTCAACGACCTTTGTCATCGCCTCCTCACCACGCTCCAGTGGAAACTTTTTCTATAAACAAAGAGAAAAGAAACGTGCGCACGACATCGTTATGGTCACTCACCTGTGGCAGGTGGCGACGGCTTGAAACTTTCTTGAGACTGATGTGAGCAGGCGACACCGTTGATTTATTGGTCGGGCGTTGAACCAACGATAATTTCGGCTCTTTGGTCGCCAACTAAAATGAAGCTATAAATTCTAACGAAACTATGAAAAGAAGGGGAGGGTATTTGGATAGGGTATGATTTCGCCTTGGTTTTGCAGTAAAACCTCCAATATCATATATTACTCGAAAGCACACATGGAGATAAACATTGTTTATCACGGAACTTGGTGTGCAGAGTGCAACTATAAAAATGTACAATGGACTTAACTTTGGAGATTTTGACCGTATTAGTTTTTCCTATGTGTGACAGTGTGATGCCCAATGTTCTTAGAAAACAGAAGCTAAATTAGATAATTTTTATCTCACTTAAAAGAGTACACCTTGTTCTAATGCCAGTAGAAATGCCAGTTTATTTTATACAAGCGTTCTGAAGTTATACTCTGACTAAGAAGTCAAATACGAGACCGAATTAATTACATTTATGTACTATTGTTCTACTGTTTCGAGAACAGGAACAGAAAACATCACCAATTTTTTACCGAAAGCAACCTTTTATATGAACAATGAAACCTACTCATAAACTTTGGTATGTCATGCGGGAAAGAGATCTCACCAAAGCACATATTGTTATCGAATTAGAAATTTCGGCTTAACATCAGCCATCTTACGAATCTTCGTCGGCTAGTTCTACTCAAAGTAAAGGTTCACTATCCGATTCATGTTCAGCGTAATAGCCTGAAGCGATAAGTAGTCTTTATCTCAATTTTAGAGTGCATTTTGGGATCATACGAGTTATTCGCCTGGAGAGCTACGATGATCTTGAAATGGTCAATAGGCAGTCTTGTGAAACTTGACGAGGACTAAAAAATGCACTATTGTACCTTCATTTTGTTTCCCATTACTGCCTCTTGCTCATTTCTTTGACTCTGGTCTGCAACTTTAGCATTTCTCAAATAACGCATGTGATACTCAGACCACTCACTAAATTAGAGAGGCTAACATGATTAAGAAAACTTCCTAGCCGACAGACAGCTACAAGCATCACTTCCATTGATAAAAGTAGACGGTTCATACGAAGCAAGAGACTCCACCGATTGACAGACTATACATTGGGCATGACGACAAATAGTTTTAGAGTAGTCCCTATTTTTTTAAAACTCACTTGTCTGCTACGCAATTGCTTAAAATGACCGAGTACTACAACATGCAGCTGCTGTTCACTGATTGAATTGGTTGGATGAATCATATCCGATTATATGCGTTCTATTACCGTCTTCCAACAGGGAAGGAATAAAAATATCAATTTTACAGTATTTAATAAATATCCCCTTAATGTACTCACATTCTAAACTGTGTATTATTTACTTTCCCACTACTGATCAGGCCGGCTAACAGAGTGCTGGAAGATGATGGCAATAGCAATGTATGATGATGGTTCTTCTTATCTGTTTCACTCTGTCTAAATGTATCGTTTGTGCACCGTACTATCCTTTCTGAAATAGAAGCAATTAAATCAATGGCGATAAAAGTAAAAAAAATTGAACTTTTATACAGACAGAGCGCCGTTATAAGGATTCTATGGTAAGCCAGCCTACATTCGATAAAATTGTATTGGATTTTTGGTTAGATCAAATTAACTTCCCTACATGATTAACGTTATTCTGTTTGTCTACTTCAACAACTATACATTTCTCTTTTTCTCAATAACAGAATATTAAACAACGACTGAATTAATTTCCACCCGTCAAAAACGCAATGTAGTTCATGACAAAGAAAGTCTATTGGCAATCGAAACAGCAGCTCACCCCCCGATTTCCATACTGCGCGATTGGCGTTATACGGATTCTGGGATAAGTCAAGGATCCTTCAGAAAAAATGCATTTGATTTTCGACGAGGTGAAATTGACTTCCCTGCATGATTAACCTTATTTTATTTCTCTATTTCAACAACCAGACATTTCTCTATCTTTCTTAACATCAGAATATTAAACAACGACTGAATTACTTTCCACCCCGGGTGTGGCTGTAGGTTCGGCTATGGGTGTGCTCTTTTGCATGACTAATTACAGCAGATTCATAGTCCGGACTTACCAACACCCATATCCACACCTTCTCTTCGGGAGCTATTTTACCAAACCATTTTGAATGCGAAACCGAAAAGGGTGTATGACGAAACTTATTGTAAATCACAAATTCAAAATAGTTCACAACGAAACCCTTTCAAACTTCGAAACTCTTAAAAGTATATTACAAAATCTTACATTCTACAGAACCTTGTACAGATTTCATATAAATCCATGGAAACCTAAATAGTCTAGTACAGCTCCACGAAATCTGGAAGGTTTCGTTCGGCAACTTTTTTTCAGTGCACACCCATACACCCAGATATGTTTTGTATGCTTTGTTCTTGTATGAATAAATGAAAAAACGGAAAATAGCGAATAACGATGGTCGAAAACGAAAAATGATTTTTCAAGGGCCATCTTTGGAAGTTCCTTATAACTTTTCAAAGGTTACTAAAAGATAGTAAGTATAATTTTTCGATAGCTACTTACTATTAGTAACTCTAACTATCTATCATTGTTTCAGAACTGATACTTACAGGTTTTTCAACGCTGTCTGGAAATGGTATTTAAAGCATTTATGAGAAACAATTTAATACGAATGTTGAAGTGTATGGACAGATTTGGATAGTATTTTTGGCATAATGTCAATCAGTTCTTGAGAGAGAGAGAGAGAGAGAGAGAGAGCTGTTCAATCAGATCAGCTCTTTTCAAAGGAGCTGTTCAAAAAGTACAGTTCAGGAACGAGAGCTGTTCAAATCAATCAGCTCCTACCGAAATGAACGTTCGAGCAGTTTTTTCGCTCAGTTCAGCTGAACTTTTGAGCTTTAGCTGATGCACCCCTAATTGTCAGTACTCATTGAATCATCTCTTTGAGTGATACAGTATACAATAGATCAAAGAGGGGAAATTTACCGCTAGTGCCCTGTGGAATTGAATGATTGAGGGTACCATAAGAACATCTATTATGATTCAATTGTTCTTTAGGAGTATTCAGGAGGACTCCAGTAATTTTCTCAGCTGAACGTTTTTGTTTTGTTTCATGGGCTATGAATGTGTTCTAAAATATCTTGTAGTAATTATTGAACTATTGATTCACTATCTGTCCACAGTATAGTTAGACCTTTCTTAAAATATCGGCACAATGTTGTCAAATGACAATATCCGACCGTAAAAGGTTAAGGAAAATTCTTTCAGATTTGTTCCTGAATAAACAACAACATGACATAATAGAAAGAAACTTACTATCTACTTTAGATGAGCACACAATCCTCTACTCATTGAGGTATAGAATTTTCTTTGAAAGTGCGAAAAAAATATTTCGATAAAAAACAATGGAGGGGAGTACAGAGATTTCAATAGTGAAACTAATGCTGTACTACTCTCCATGATTTTTTTATCGAAATATTTTTTTCTCACTTTCAAAGAATCTCTATACCTCAATGAGTAAAGGATTGTGTGCTCATCTAAAGTAGATAGAAACTGTCTGTCTATTATGTAAAATTGTCGTTTATTTGTGAACAATTTTAAAATAATTTAGCTTACAACATACCGCTTTTTTCCTCATTTTCAGATAAGGCTCTGCTCAGCGATATACATGGTCCCATCCAAATTTTTGCAGGATTTTGTAGTACTATGTGTGCAGTTTGAAACCATAAAGGCAGAACTTCTACAGGCCAGATTTTGCTCTAGATAGCTCTCCCCAAAAATAGTCATTTTGATGAATATCGCATTTTTGACGAGAGTCACTTTCGTCTTAGAAGTTAGCTGCGCAGCTGAAATTTCTATCAGAGTAAGTACTTATCACGATCTCATTGCAGCCTAAATTTCAGTTCTCTTATATGATTTATTCGAGTCTATAGGTACACGAACTAAATCGCAAAAAGTGAGAAATTTTTCATGAATTTTGTTGTTGCAGTCAACTCTTTTACGACTCAAGCATTTGAGTTCGTTTCTTTTGGGAAATATACGCCCACTAGAGGTAGACTGGCACCAAATATTTCAACTTAAATGAAAGAACCGTTGAAGAGACATTGATACCAGAAAAAGTTGCACAAAATGTCATTTTTTTAGGAGGATGCTCTCAGGAAAAATTGAATATCTCGGGAATGGAACAATCTTTTTTGAAACGGCTTGCACAGAAACTCATCAAACTCTTGCCCCTACAAACGTATACAGAAACAAGTCGAATCGGTTTCCATCGACTGAGTAGGGCCAGTCGTGGCTTACGTGGAATGGCTCATATGTATAGTATAAATACCAGAGATGCGATCGGTTAAGGATTTTTTTAAACCAAACCGAACCGAGCTGAACTGATTTTTATTTTTAAAAATTTTAACCGAGCCGAATCGAACCGATCCCAACCGAAAAATTTGTACAATTTTCAAATTTCTTTAAGGAACTTATTATGTTATTAGGAAGTTTGCCTTAAAAACTGATAATTGCTGTACTCTATAGATAAATTCATTTATTCAGCTTTAGTAAAAATAAATGGGAAAACCTCGGATTTAAATCCGAGTGTTATGTTAACTTCAAAAAAAAAAG